ATGTATGTATGTATGTATTATATATATATTTGTATATCAGATGCACGCTCGAATGCTGTCATGCGCAGCACAACTTGCAGAGTTCATGCCATCCTACCGCACATCTGTGCGAAGCCGCAGGTTTTACTACACGACGGTCCAGCGCTCAGAGTTCAGCACGAGGGGCAATGCTTCCTGTCACCTCGTTCTTGGCCGACGATGGTACATATAACATGCCTCCTCTGCTTTCGGGGATCAGCCAGCTGATTCAACAGTGTTTTTCCACTTTTTTCCTCGAAGCAAACACAGAACACTGGAAAGCGCCGCTTCTTCCAGAGCAGCACAGGTACATAGCTTCAGTCGCAGGCACGTGCTGTGGCAAGTGTCCGGCAGTAAAACAAGATGAAAGGCCGTTAAAAACGCAAGACAACACTCTCAGGGCTCTCTGTACGACAAATAATATTCGGAGCAAGTAACCGTAAGTAACCTGAGGAAAAGGAGAGCCCAAATGATGCTGGGCTCCTGTACTGCAAAGCACACGACCCGAAGTCTGCTTCCGTCATGATTCCACACCGCAATCACTAAGCTCTTGCTCCCATTTTCTCATTCAACTGTTGCTCTAAGTGTACGTAATGTGAGTCAATGTTCTGGCCGTGGCGAATTCTGATATGTTTTTTCCACCCTGCGGCCGTGCCAAAACAACGGCCAGCTCATGGCATGACATGAGGTCCGGGACACAGAAGCTGGATCACATGTGCGGAGCGGTGGCTACGACAGTACTGTCGGGGATCGACTGACGAAGGCAGCCCCTCGGTGGCAATGGTGCTTCTGAGGTAACCGTGCAGCCGAAGACATGTTCTGCAGGTTTCTCATGTTTGAGTTCCATGCCACTCCGAACTCGTTTGGAGCTGTAGCAAAGGACACTTTCCGGGAGTTTGTGCTGTACAACGCCGACGCTGCTCGCTTGAGCAGAGTGGTCAATGCCAGCGTAACAGGGAGAGGCAGACAGAGCTGCTCCCTAGCGGCACCCACAACAAGTGGGGGGTGCATGCGTGAGCGCAGGCAAGGAGGGCCCCTTCCCCTTGTCCCTAGCCCTGAAAGAAGATCAAGCCCCGGGGATGGTTCTGTGTTGCACTTGTGCTTAAGGATGCAGTCGGGCAAAGTGGATCGGAATGATGTCGTTTGTGCGTCATGCAGTCCAGGGGGGTCAGCTTTGCAAAGCTGGTTCATGACATGTGTTTGTCTCTAGATTCTGATTATTGCCTGGATGACAAGTTAGATGAGCATGTTTCCGTCGGGGGATCGACCGATTGGATCACTTGCGAAATCAAAGGCCGGTGTACATCTCTCTGATGTAACTTTCATCCCCTCCCAAAAGTATCCGCAGAATAACTGGTGGGCTTGATGTCCTGGCGGGGGCTTGGCTCGCCCCTTATGTCTAGGAGAACAAGCGCGGCGAGGGGGGCAGCTCAACGAAATGCTCCCTCCAGTGCAGCGGCTCCCGAAACAGCACCGTGTACTTTTGAAGCAGTCGTGAAACAGTGTTCTTGAGGCTTCATGCCATAACGACTGAGCGACAATGGGGGCCGGAGATGTGGCTGTTTTCTACCGGTATGCACTTGCGCGGGGCGAGGGCGGCGGTTCTAAGAAAGAGAGCGAGAGGCTGAACAACAAGGCTCTGCAGCGTTGGCGGAATGCAAAACCTGCCAAGTCCGCGATCCAGAGGATAGCATGAGCCAAGGCCATCTATCCCGAGTATGTTGTCCTCTACACACGAGTTCATCATGCTGACCCTCCCGACCAAGTGGCAAGGCAAACAGCAGTAGAAGCAGTTGCCGGCACTGTCCATTCAGTCTAGAGTCTAGTGTTCTTGCGCGGGCCTGTGACACATCAGGCTGACCGCAGACTTGTATCATTTGCAGCTGCCCGTCTACTGGGCGAATTGCACCTGGCTTACACCCGGAATCGAGTGAAAAGCTGTTTACAATGTTTACAATCTGTTGTGCTGACCTGACCTGGTGCCTCAGATCTTGTTCAGGTGATAAAGATCCGTTGCGGCAGCCGTTTCACGAGCCCCGGCTGCCGTTGTTCCCACAATTTGATGGCGCCCTCAAGGCTTCATACGGATTTGGACTTTGAGCCTGTTCTGCCGTGATGGTCAGTCAGGGCTTTTAGAGGAGCAGCATGGAATTCATAATTAGTGGGTGGCGCATGGACTCTTGCTGCCTGTGTTGGTTGGTTCTGCCGAGACATGCAAGAGCATTGGTTCGGCACCTCCGAACCACTTTCAGGAGCAATTCTTGGTTGCACAGTACACAGAATCTTGGCTGCACTGCGCTAATATTCCGATTGCGTTGTGGCGCTTCCATTTCGGTGACAGTCAACCCTACTAGCAGATATGAAATCCAGTAATTTTCGTTGACGACTGCTACAGCAGAAGTCTTGCTTCGCAAAGATATGTGGGGCAACCCTTCCAGCTGGCGGCCTATGATGCTCAAAATTTCCGATTGAAACCGAAGCATGACCAGCAGTGAGCTGCACACCTTCCCATCGATAATCCATCAAACTCTCACCTTCAGATCCGAAGGGAGTGTCGGACATGTCAGACTTCGGCTGTGAGCTTCTTCGCATCCAGGTTGCCTTGCTTCAAGAGAGATTTGGCTGCAAAGTTTGATCATTGGCAATGGTGTTTGCAGAGGGTGGATGGCCAGGGCTTCTTCTTTCTGTGGCAACGCATAGGACATCCCTGGATTGCCTTGCTTTCCATAACCTTCAGCCGACTGTGATGGAAGAGAGCGCTCTCGAAACATAGGTTGGCGACGGCCTGCTTCAAGGGCACGGGCTCTGTTGAAGTGGTTCGTGCGAAGCGCATCGAGCGCCAGAGCTGAACTGGCTTCTTTTTCGTTTCATGGCCCCCGAGCCGAGCATGTAACAGGTGTTCAAGGTGCTCAATCGCCACCAGAGCTTAAGGAACTCGCAGGTGTGGCAGAAGTATGTGGAGCACAAGCGGCTGCTAAGTTGCAAATTGCGAGCAACCGAATTGGATGTTCTGGTCGAATAAAAACGGACTTGACGATAAACAGCAGATATGTCTGGTACACCGGAAGCAAGGTTGGAGACGTAGACAGGGTTGTGCAAACGACGTGCCGAGGAAGATGCTGCAGAAAATCCAGGCAGCGCTGGGGACTTAGCTGTCCCCGAACCACCTTCAACATCTCAAGAGAGGACCAGAGAGTGCTGCAAACCTGATCACGTTGAGCATCTTGGTCACTCCACACATGATGAGCGAAATTGCAGAAACGGGCAAAGCAAGAACGAGGGCCATCGCTAGCAGCTGCAAGGCACACCGACTAAGACGTTCCAAAATCGTGTGTTGGCCGAGGAAGAGAGACAAACCCGACTTCAAGTTCCTCACAGCCCGTGACCTCGACGATGCACACGGTGGCTGGAGGGCTGGAGGGTTCCGGAGCTGGAGTGTTGCTGATCTGGGTCTGATCGAAGTTTGTGCTGGGACTTCATCGTAGGCTTGCTTAACACCAAAAACTACGACAGGCGCAAGACTGCAGGGCAGCGTGCGCTCCAGATTTCTTATAAACTCCTGCAAGCTTCATTACCGGCGTGAAGGGATGTGACTGAAGAGGTGAGATCCTGACGTTCAGCTTCCTCAGCGCGAGGGACTCCACCGAAGAGTGCGTGCTCTCCTGAGCACCGCGTGAGGACAAGGGCCCAGGGATGGCTGGCTCGCCCCGGGAAACTTCTACTGTACACCAATCAAAGACGGTGCAGATGTTGGTGTCTTGCATGCGCACATTTTGCAACAAAACATTGCTGAAAGCCAAAGTTTCGGAAGCTGGGAAGATGCTTTTTATGGTCGTGGACAGTCTTTCTTGGTCGTTTCTGTCCGTCGACCTAGAGCAAATCTAGAGCCGGCAGGTACAGATTCTATGGTGGGAAATGTCAGTTGCATTTTCTTCCTTTGGGAAGCGATTGCAGCATTCGCTTGGCATGCTAGGTGTCCATCACTAACTTGGAAGAGCCCTTGAACGAGAACCTTCTGTGGTACTTCGGCTGCAGAGTATTAGCCTGCAACTTTCGTAACCACTTGTGCACGGCATCGAATACATCAGTGTTCTCCCCGGTGGCCAGATTCTCAACCAGCATGGTGCACGGATTTGGCTTTCTGTGCTGATCATCTTGCACGCTTCAGATCTTCAAGGCATGGCACATCGAAAGAAGCGGCTGAGAAGATTGCCGAGAGCGACTTCAAGATACCCGTTGGGTGACTTGGACGTTACCGTCTGCATGATGTTTGCACCAGGGCAAGAAGCTGTCTTGAATGCCGGGTGGCAATTAGCGTGACAGATTCTCCCGTATTATCTGGTTGGCCGCCCGGTGCGCCATGACACTGGAGTACCAAGGAAGGACATGAAGCATGCTGCTCGTTTTGGAAACGGAGCCTATTTGGCGGAGGACTTGGAAAAGGCCGAACCCCGAGTGTCGAGAGATAAATCGGACTTCGCATCGCTACTCCGAGCGTCCAAGCGTCGAACGAGGTCTAAGTCTTCCGCAAGTTATATGGGAGTGTTCGAGGACTAATGGCTCCGGTGTCTTTTGCAGTAAGGTAGGGCGGCTGCTGCACTGTTCTGACTGCTCACTGGTTGATGGTCTCTTCTCCGGCAATAACAAGCAACATGATGCTGTGCAGAGCCCGGCCGACGGTCGTTTTCTGTTCTGTGTGGCCACTTCATTAAAGCTTTACGAGGCAGCTGCACGGCGCAGCCTTCAGCAGCTTTCGTAAGCACCCTCTCACACACACATGGCTTTGCTGTGTCTGGCTCTGCTGGCAAGAATTAGTTAGTTCAGTGCCGCGTATCTGCATATCGGGTCGACTCATAAGATGCGCTCTTCTCATCCAAAGAAGACGCGCGTGAACCTCTCTAGATGGGGGTCGGAGTGCAGTTCGCCATCCGCAGGGAGCCGGCAGCGCGGGGCCGGGTAAGGAGGGGATCCCCATTGACCCTCTTCCCCTAGAAAACATGCCTGCATTTTGTCTGCCCTTGGGCGCCGGTCTGCATCATGTGCAGCAGAACTGGTCCTATGTTGTGTGCGCGCAGTCGCTCTCCTACACAGAGCCAACGAACGACGGCACCCGCATTGTGCCTTGTCACATTTGGAAAGCTTGGTTACCCTTCGGCTGGTTTTTTCGGCATGCTAGGACATCACGATGCCTTGATGTGGTTCTCACATAATGACAGGCTGCGTCTGTTTGTGCGAATGCAGAACACGCGAGAGCCGGGCTCTGGATTCACTCTGGACTAGATTCCTTCATCTGCAACTTTCTCGGACACGATCCCATGTCCTTACCGTGTTTGGCCAGCAAAGTCGGCCTGCCACGCTGGCTCTTTGCTCCAGGTTCTTCTATGCAGGACTCTGTGTGGCGATTTCTACTACACTGAGCGGCATCAGGAAATCAATGCATCCCAGCTTCGCACCTTGGAATCGAAGATGTGCGTTGCGAGAGTGCTGGACGCATGTCCAGAAACCAGCAACATACCGTAGAGCTTCGCATGGACATGCATGAGCGAAGTTGCAGATTTCGGATACTTTCGGTACAGTTGGCGTCGTACTTGGAATCATTTGACCGTCCATGACCAAATATGACCAACGGGCGGCCCCAGGTGATGCTGAAGGCAAGCATTCAGTCCTCGCAAATCCGGAGCGTGCCTTGCCGCTGACAAATGACCAGGGGTTTCGGGCTTTGTGCACGCAACGCTTCAACTTGTGGTATGGTGGCTTGCTTTGAGTCAGTTTACCCTTGCTCGAATCTGCAACGACCTGCAAACTGAGGGAAAGGTCCGCGAGAGTTCATTGTGCCGACCGCAGACCAGGTGTACCCTGACGCCGTGAAAGCATTAGCTCAGCTGCGCCACAATGCTCCTAAGCCTTTGGCAATACAGTACCTGACTCTCCAACAAGGAGTTTATTCTGGAGCTCAGTGTGAAGGATTGGGAGCCGCCTCCTCCTGCACCAACGGCCTGCAAGAGTAATCTTTGTGGCTGGAGTGGTGGCGACACAAGAGGTCGGTTTCTGATACTTCCGAGGCTTGCTCAAAATCGTCTTTAGACAGCATACGTCGCTGAAGCTATGGTCGAAGACTTGCAGTTGAGGTACTACTGCAGAAGACCAAGCTACAGGTCCAGGTTCCCCCAGGCCGATAGCCGGGCTGAAATTCACATTACCACGGCGAGCCTGTTCGATGTAGATCAGGGTCTTCACGTGCGTCCGAACACCTGGGAAATTACGCGTTCGGAGAGCCAAGCGTGACCGGTTTGAGGTGTGGGGCCTGGCAGCTTGATCGCAGTCCAGGCGGCGACCTCGGATGGCTGCAGACTCGCGGGATCACCTTGCGTCTTCCCTGACGCTCACCTCTCCGCACAAGGCTCCCGATGGCCGCCAAGTCCAGGTCGTATTGCCGGCTGGCGCCGTGCCTGGTGCTACGCCACTTCGTGCTGCAGCCATTTGCAATGCCTTTTTGCAAGTGTTCCGAAGATTTTTCCAGATCGCTTACGCGGCCCAAGCCCAGGCTCGAGCTCGAGGTCTGAACGTCTGCCAAGCTACTCCTGCCAGCCCTTGCCCCCGTGCACTGCACCTTGGGCTTGATCTCCGTTCTGATATCTCCGTTTCGTGGCGATATTTCGGGTGTAGAGCCGAGTTCTCCAGGGCTTGTCAAATTATTCCGAAGATTGTTTCTTTCGGGCGCTCTGTCCAACTATCACTCGAAGTGGCTCAAGTCGTGGAAGTTATCTTGCGTTTGGCATGAGGGGATCAGTTTAGTAATCTTATGTAATCTTCATCCGTAGCTCGTTTCGAGATTCGTCACAAGAAAAGACTCGAGCAGCTCGCTGCGTAAGCTTCTTGTTCAGTCAAAGAAGGTACTCCGGCAGTGAATTGCAACTGCTCCGAGACTCGATTCGCCTCGTCTCTTGTTCTAGTAGAAGATCCACAGAGCATCCCAGGCCAGCGGTTATTCCGAGGATTCAAGACAAATGGCTCCTCCAACTCTCGTGTGCGTGTGCACACAATCGCATAACAGAGGTTAAGCCAGAGCTGCCTTCCCGGACCCATGCCAGCGTCATTTTCGCCTACGCTTGGCTGCAGGAATGCGCCGTTGACTCCCCGATGGCCAGCTGCCGAAGGGCAGAATGTGACAGGCCTTGGTCGAGGTCACGCAGGGCGCGCAAACTTGTCCGGAGAAATCGCCAAGCCCGAAAATGTGAAGCCTGTTCATGCTGACTGGGAGAAAAGATGGAAGGGGTCAGGATACACCAGACTTGGAAGCTTCGCAACAAGACCGCCACAAGCCAGTCCTGAAGATTTGTTTGACTGCTTGAATTCAAAGGGAGGGAGGGCCAGAAAGGATTTGCGTGCTTATGCTGTGATTGAGCGTGGTGGAATTTGCTTGAATCGGCAAATGCCTTCCAAAGCCCATCGGGTGACATCGTTGGACCATACTTGCATGGCGCAGACTGACTACAGTTCAACTGGCCGTTGTTTGATCTGCCCTGTTAAGAGTGCGCCTGCTTTGAACTTTACATTGGTTTGGAGTTGAGTTGGTCGTGGCGATGCGGTGTTGAACTCATGGGGACAGTCAACGGTGGTTTTGCTGAGTCAGAGGCGTCCTTGACCACACATAGTATGCCCCAGAGCATGCGACCGCTTGGCTTTTCAACTGGTGGAATAAGGTCAATAAAGAGTCCGTGGCCGAACCAAGCAGAGAAGAAGCTAAAGGGAGTTCGAAGGTGGGATGCCTGAGTGTCACAAAGTTGCGTGGAACCTCGGTTCTGCAGCCTTTGAGCTCGGGCACAAAGAGTCTGAGGATCAGCAGCACCGACAAACGAGACCTCAGTCATCCAAGGCCTTGAACCAACATCAGGGGATACGATATGGTTACTTCTAACTTTACAGGCACGGGCGCAGCATGGAGATAGCACCGGCCATTTCCCGACCCAGCTGTCGTGGATTTGACTGCGCGGTCGGTGCAATCACATCTCCAGCCTTCGGAGCCGCGAGGATAAAGGCGGACCAGATTGTCATTCAAGCATTCCGCTCTCTCCTTGATTCTCCTCCTGATCAGTTCTGTCAGACATTTCTCGCTGCTCGCCAACATCCCTGACGATTGAAAAGCCGGGTCTCACAAATCAACATCAACGTTTAGCTTGGAGGCCGTGCTCCCGCGCAAACGCTGGGCATCTGCACTGTGCATACCCTTGGCCTTGAATCGCCTGGCACCCAGCTCTTGCCACACACTTCATGGTGGCTTCGGGCTGGCATCCTCGCAGTCACGCGCACATCACGGGACAGCTAGGCATCACGCATGCTAAAATGGCTTGGTCAGAGCTCACCATGTCCAGGCATCAAATGGCGGCGGCAGCAGCCCCCAGCGCGCATCCGCCGCTCTTCCTCGCAGGCTCGGGATTAGTCGCGATGCGACCTACCACAGACCTAGGAAGAGGAGGTAGCCCGACACTCCCCTCCACCAGGCTAGGGAACATCTCGGATTGACACTGCCAAAATAGACAGTTCCAGCGGAGCATTGCTCCAACCCACTGAGCATCATGTGTTTGAAGGTTAGTTCTGCCTGCAGGTGCCGCTGGAGAAGCATCTCTGGGAAGCAGGCAGGGACAAGAAAGCCTTACTGAGAGAACCAAGTCAGCGCGGGACCTTCAACCGCAATGCCTGTGCCAAACAGTTGGTCACAGCTTCACAGGACCAGAAGTGACTTGAGTGCGAACTGCACAAAGACCGGCACGACGGGCCGGCAGCAAGCTTCAAAACACCATCACTGAAGCGAAACATGCGGAAAGTATGATTTTCACAGTACCAGTCAGATCTCGCAGTGCAATGGGTTCAGCCCGCAGAGGCAATTCTTACGTACTGCTGGAGCTGTGCCTCGGAACTGCAGAGAGCGCTAGGCTCTAGGCTGTCCTGGCTGGCCCTCAGACACTTCGTCTCGGATTCTCAACGCCGAGCCCCAACAACTTGTTAGCTTGAGCCTGTCGGATCCAAGGCCAGTTCGTGGAGGAAATCATACAGTCAAGCTGAAGCGGTATGCAGCTTGGACGAAGCGGGATTGAAATGCTTCCACTATTCTGTAGACAGGTGCGAATGGTTGAAAAACTGCTTCGTACCTGCTGGTCCAAGCTGGGCCTCACACGCACGGGCTATGAATTGTTGAGACGAATAAACGCGGCAAAACGGCTCCGCTTTTCGAAGGAGCAAGGCAGATCCGGCCGGGCAGCTGTTCTCGTCCTCCACGATGGACCTGGCCTGCCTTCCCGGCATTTTGGCTTTCAGCTACATGTTGTACAGATCCGTACAACGGTTCATGACACACAAGAACGAGTTGGTTCACGCAGGTTGTTCTAAAGTTCTTGCAGAGACTGCGGGCGTCGCCCGCGGAGATGTGTGTTCGAAAGATCAGGTATCTGGAGCCTTTGGCGGCGAGACTCTGTGCTGGCAGACTTTGCTTCATGCCGCTCGGAATATCCAGGTTTCGATTCGTCATAATTTAGAAGCAGCCTTTGGCCAGGGAGCGGCTTGCACCGGACAAGAATGTAATTCCAATGCTACACAGCCCGCCTTGGCTCGAGTGCAGCGGCCCCTCCCAAACAGCGACGAGGACAGGTCAAGCAGGGGCCAGCCGGAGGGGGGCTGGCAGGGGAGGGGCGGGGGGGCGGAGGGGGCAGACGGGCCAGAATGGAGGAAAACTGTCCAAAATCACTGACTGGAGTGAGTGAGTGAGTGAGTGAGCGAGTGAGCGGCATGCTGCGCACGGTGGGATGCGCAACAGGCCTTCCTAAGGCGCCGATCCCTCCCGGCTTCGCAGGGGCCACTTGGAGTTCACGCTGGCGAACGCCCCAACCCCGGAATCAACGTTCCAAGGCCAGCAAGACCCAGTCAAGCAAGAGGGTTTGACTGACTCCGCATACAGCAACAACTAGGCAGGCCCGCCACCAGCGAAGCTGGCATAAGGGCAAGACAGCGTGCCATCCTCGCGGAAGTGCGTGCGATACGACTCTTCCCCCCAAGGTCCCCCTTGAGGGTACTAGGCCAGTCAGTCAACATCGCCTCTGCGTCGGGCTGTGCCTGGCCGCGCGCCAAACATGGCCAACACGCTTCTCCACAGATCCCTCTACGGATACTAAGTGTATAGCGCGACCCGATATGGCTCCGAGCACTCACACAGTCACCACCTTTCCTGGATAAAGGGAAATGGAAAAGCTGCATCCATCCCCGCACAAGCAGGTCTCATGACAGTATACCCTCGGACTGCGCGGGTGAAGGCCAAAGCTATGGCAGCTATGGCCAACACCCACCTCGGACGAGGGGAACTGACTGGAACGAAGGGAAAGGACAGGTCAAGGGGGGCCAGCCGGGGCGGGGGGTCGAAAATGTGCACCACTTGCAATGTCAGTTCGTGCAACAACGTGCTTTTGGACATTCGAGAATTGAGGCCACGAAAGATGAACGTCTTTTGTCGACAACCTGTGCCTTTCCTTCAGGGCACCATGCAGGCCATAAGTCGACTCCCTTCTTGGACTTTGTCGGATAATCTCCGCTGAACCCTCTAACCAAACCTTCAACCGCCTGGCGTTGTGGCAAGAGGAGGAAGAGGAAGGGGCAGGCAGGGAGCGGGCGGGGATGGGGGGGGAGGAGGGGCGGGAGAGGGGAGGGTGGGGGGCGGAGGGGGGAGGAATTGAAAAAATGGACTGGAAAGAAGGAAAAGGTGCCCAAAAAGCGCATGTCAGAAAATTTTTGGGACACGGAGGAGGGTTGGGTGGTGGGTTACCTAGTTCAACCATCAAGACGCCGGAGGCCGGATTAATCAGAAGATTCAACTCAACATTCGGATCGACAACATTAGAGGGAAAGTACCTTCTACTACTTGCCCGTAGGCTACTTCTCCGTGATGCAGATGCCAGACAGTTCAATGACCCCACGCTTTTTCGCGGGCAGGCCTAGGCCTAGGCGGATTGTTACGCTCGGAAAGAGCACAAAGCAAACCAAGCAAGGTACGATCAATTGGGCTGCGGTGTCTCTGCAACTGATCCAACTCTCGAAGAGGAGGTTCGCCGGTCCGTCCCTGTTGCGATTACCAGAATATTCAACTTGAGCAGCCGTTTCAACAGTTTGCAACCAACGTCTGGCAAGCTTCGCGATTTCTGGATCGAAACCGCACTAAGTCTCCTGCTCGATCGTTCAACTATCCTGGCCTGCCACAGGACGGAATCCGCCCTGCTGTTGCCGATCTGTGCGATGTTCTCTCGTTCCTGCGTGGACTTGGGCAGGTCGTTCGGGCCTTCTGCAGGTCTGCAGGTTGTGGTTGATCTATCCTTTCCATTCGCAGTAGAGCAGCCAACAAGGGGACGCACACAGTTGCACAATGTTGAACAACGTTGCACAAAGGCACCATGTAGACGCCGAGTCCGTGCCTGTCTGCACGTCCGCCGCTCCCCTTTAGTCGGGTGTCCACGTCTTTGCCTGTCTTTTTGCATCGCCAGGACGAAATCCATGTCCTGGCACACGGATATGGAGGCAAGAACTAATTGCCTCATGCGTCCTTCGTCTCTGGATGTATGTAGATTCCGATCCTACCAGTACAAGTCGCAGACTGTCCGGAAGGTACTCTCATCATGGAGGCCCTTGTCCGAGATCGTCTGTGGAGCGATCCAGACAGCACGCTACCAAAGTTGAAGTCGATCTGCTTGAACCTTGGGGGCAACAGCACAAGCTGCATGGTAAAGCTCGCCTAGAGGCAAA